TTAGCACAAAGACCACAAGACTTCAATAAATACATCCAATTGAGCAAGCTTCAAGTTGTGCACATTTCTAGAAAGCAACCAAGACTTGAAGAAAGACATTATGAGCATAAAAGGCTCACAACTGTTCCATATATTTTGCTTATTTGTGTGCCAGAGAATGACTCCTAATACATAGAGAGACATTAAATTCTACTACGGAAGCCTCAGCATTAAAGAACAAGTGGAATTATAATGCTCAAGAACCTCTTGCTTAATTTTGATTTTAGTGCTTCATTTATAACATTGGATTTAATCAAACAGAAACAATAACACTACAATAAACAACAATAGGAAATAATCACTTTATATGGAGCCAAAGTTTTCGCGTGAGAATGCATGAACTTTTAAACTCTAGCAAGAATTCAAAACTTTCTCAGGTGGTGGGCAGCATTGTATTGAATACATGTTGGAAGAGTTGGGCTGTTTCATGATTTTTCTCAATTTATATTCATTATTTAAAAGAAAAAGAAAAACAAAATGCTTTAAAATGTGGTCATGGAAGGAAAGGACCCTCAGCACCCTTTTCTGGGAGTACCCTTGAGTGCTATTGATCCTGCTTCATAATCATCAAAGTAGAAGGAATCTCAAATATCATGCAGGGGAAAACCACCCTGCTTGTTACAGGGTCTGCTAAAATATTTTAAACGGTGACTATCCATTCTTTTTTTTCAAAGCTCCTGGCAAAGGGAAATTTACCATTTCATGTGGCAATCTATTGTATTGGTTGACAGGCTCTGGAGATCTTATAGTCTCAGTCTACTGGTACTGGCTCTGCCCTCTGGGATGACACAAACAAGTCCACACTCTCCTCTGAACTGCTATCATACTGTATCTCATCTCAATGCTATCTTACATAGGCTACACATATCCAGTCCCTGTAACTTATGTATACTTATGTAGGTATGGATATACTATTGTAAAGTAAGTTGTCCCATGATTTTATAGGCAGTTGACATGTTATACGAGATTAAAAATGACTACTCTACCTAACAACATGATCACTAGCAACTGCATCTGAATGTAATATGTGTATGCTTTATATTTTGGAAGCTTCTGATAGCAAATGATTTCATTAAGTGCCAGGTTCTCATCAGAATGTGAGTTGGTTTAATTATGAACAACCATAGTATGTTCTGTTATAAACAACCAAATAATGTTTTAACTATTTTTAAGAATATTTTTTCATTGTGACCATTTTCTAAATGATAACTTTTCATTTTGACTTAAAAATTACAGTGACCATTGAACCAAACCAAATCAGAGAATAATGCAAACTGTTTCCAGGATTAGGTTAATTCTATACAGATCATTGATATTAACCATGTCTACCATACTTCTCAGATGTAAAATTATTTTAAAATTTGCTGAAAGTAATGCAGGCCTATCTTCTTAACCATGATGTTTATGGTGGGTTGAGGTATACTAAATAAAACAAGAAGAACATTTAAGTATTTCAAAAAGAAATAGCTGTAATATAAAATGAATAACAAATACAACTGCTTGAAATCATCTACATTTAACTAATGTGAATTGAAGAATATCAGGTAAGGTTTCTGATACTATTGAGAAAACCCTTTGGATGCCCATAGCTAGCATTTCAATCTATTCTTCTCTTAGCCTGACTTCAATGGAAGTCCACCATTCATATTTCTTCTTCCTGGCAACCGAAGATGAATACTAGTGGTCATTGAGAGAAAAATGGACAAAAATGCTAGTGAAAATAGCATATCAACCTTTCTTGGGCTGAAATAATTAGATAAAGCCAATAAAATAAACGTAATCCATCAAGACTTCTGTGGAATTCATCAAACTCCATGGTTATTAAATGGAAAAACTGGACAATTTTTTTCATGGAGCAATCTCTAATAAAATTTGGGGTGACCACTCCAAAATTTGAGGCACAATCCATTGAAAGCAGTGGCCCTCAACCCTTTGGGTATGAGGGATCAGTTCCGTGGAGAGAGTTTTTTTCTGTGGACCAGAGGGGGCATGGTTTTGTGTCCTGCCTGCATCCCATGGATAGGGTTTTGCTTGTTTGCATGGCTTGGATTCTGGATTGCTGCAGCCTGTGCCTATCCATGGACTCGGGGCTGAGGACCTCTGCTTTAAAGTAAGAAGTTTTTTTTTCTTGCAATTACTTTCTGCAGAAGCCTGTAGAAATACCTTTTAAAATTAGAATTGGAGAGATAGAAGAATATATAGGGAAACTAACATTATATTAAAATAACAAAAATTTGTTAGAGGTATCAGTTTTTAAAATTATTCATATAACATACTGTATATGTGTCCAAATTGTTGATATATAATGTCTTATTTAAAAACATTCCCATTGGTACAAATCTTAACTTTATATGGAAAGTATTTGTGACTGATCAAAATTTTTTAAAAAATACCAATTGCTTATTTTAATATTGAATCCTAACTCTTTGAACATATTTTGTTGGTTACTGGATATTATTTCTTTTGGAAAAAACAATATAGGGTACAATCAGAAAAAGTTATTGATCTATCTTTTCAACAAAGTGAATTTGAATAGTTTGGAGTATGGCATCCATCTTTTCCATGACTTATTTGATAGATATACCTGCAAAACAGGCAAGTATCTACCATCTTTTAAGGAAGCTAATTGTAAAAGCATGGTATGTTGTCACAACCACCGTTGCGGTTAAAAAATGACAGTAGTACTATTATTGGGATTTTATGTACAATTATACACTGCATACAGTGAAGATTTAAGCTTCCTACAACTTAGATTGGAAAAGAGCAAAGAAAGAGGAAATATTTTCTATGACTATATGTAATTTTACAAACACCTTCTTACATATTATTTTAAATAAATTAAAGCCTAGTAGCTTTTAGCAAAAGCAAATAACCATCTTTTCTAATGAGAGCTTGTATTGCTTTTGGGATGGCAAACTTCTCCCATATTTTAAGACAGATTTCTCTAACCTAATGTTCATTAATGGCTAGGTTGGTTGAATTAATGGACTTTAGAGTCCAGTCTATGTCATGAGGATTTGTTTGTGGGGAGTCTAATTTAAATTACTAACTAAATTCAGCACCTAAGCTTAGATTCTAAAGACTATTTGATGGTGGTTGTGAATGGCTTGTTTGTCTTACTTTTGCTATTGTATTTCTTCTCTCTCCATAAACATTATCCATTACTGTCAATTTAGTTAACAATCAAACTAAAGATCAGGAGCCAAATTAATATACAGACTAGACTAGCAGAAAGTTAAGCCCTTCAGAAACAAAGAAGCAAACACCCAGTTCATTTCAATAAGATTGTTTCTTTCCTTTTCGATAAAATTGATGGTAGAAGAAAAGATAAAACCTTGTCACACGGCAGTATGACTATTTCCTTTGCAGCACTGAGTTCATTTACCATCATGGGCACCCTGACAAATGTTCTTTAATGAAATGGGTCTTAGTGGATCACTATTCAATATGAAATGAATAACAAAAGCGAAAAACACACTTCACAAACACATCTGATGATTTGAAGTTGTACCTTCAGTATAAATTTAGATATTCATTACTCAGACAAAAGCAAGATTGAGGTTACCAGTGCCTCTCAGCCTTGGCAGTTTTAGTTAAGTCTACCTCCATAAGTCCGCATTCATCTTCCAAACATTGCAATCACCATTCTTTCCAACATTTAGTCTAAAATATCAGATAAAATGGTTTTTTAATAATAAGATAAATATTGATGTGCTTCTCCTTGCTGAGTGCATTGACTTAAGGCATAGGCACAAGTCTCCCTCTTTTAACAGAGATGGTATATAGTTGTGTCCCAATACAATTATTATCCTGGGTGACCCCCTTGCATTTAAGTAGCTCAAAAAGTACTTTGCAACAACCACTGAGTTAGCCAATACTTTAAAGACTTAATATTGTCACTAAGGCTGCACCCTTAACTATATTTTACAAGGAAGTAAACCTCATAGAGCATATTTGACCTTACTTCTGAGTAAGAATGTCTAGGATTGCACTGCAAATCTAATATGTAACTGCGCATTTTACTGTCCATCAAAAGTGCACTTTACTGGTGTCTTCAAGTCTTTTTAACCAATGACTTGAAACACCTAATTATATTTATAAATGGCTTAATCCAAACTTTACTGAAACCAGTAATGAGAATGTTATCTAAACTGAATTCAGTTGACTTGCTAGGAAGTTCTTGGCGTGCTCTAGATCAGAAAGTCTCAAAACTGGCTCATAGTTTCAAGCTTGTTACAAGAGTAACCAATAACTTATGTGTTCCCCCAAATCTCAGAAGTTATAGATCGTACGGTTTCCTAGACTATTAAAAAACACACTTGGGGATCAATTGCATGAATCATGTGCCTTTTCTATGATAGAAGGGGCAGAGTTGTGGTGGACAGAACATAAACCACTTGCTTCCTATCACCTTTTCTGAAGTGCAATTCAGTTTAGGTTTTTGGTTTTAACAGTATGATTGAAAAGGTTTTTTTTTTGCTACTACCATTGTTCCTTAATCACTATTTTAAAAAAAAAGATTTTTAGGATTTATTTTTTTTGCAGGGAATCTTTGTAATGATCAGATGGTTTGCCTCCAAGACACCATTCCCAGGCACTTCTTAAATCCTCTTCTGATGATATAATATGTGGTGGCGCAGTGGTTAGATTGCAGCATTGCAGGCTAACTCTTCTCACAGCCTCAAGTTTAATCTTGACTGGCTCAAAGTTGTCTCAGCTTTCTATCCTTCCCAGATTGGTAAAATGAAGACTCAGTTTGTTGGGAGCCATAGGCAGACTCTGTAAACTGCTCCAAGAGTGATTTGGTTGATATGTTTTAAACTAGTTCTGTTCTGCTTACTGAAAGCCTTTACTTATAGCTTGGATATATTCTTTTTGGTCCTTTTTGGTTTCTTACCTTCATGAGGAGGGCTGCCTTTGCTTTTTTGCTTTCATGTTTAGGCTGACTTTATACACAATATCCTTTCTCCACAGATACAGATATCTACATGGCCACAGAAGAACCAACAGCATAGGAATTTGTGTTCACTATCATAGAAATGTAAACTCTCTATCTCCCTTTCCTAGAAAGCTGGGGAAACCACAATTGCAGATCTAGTGCCTTTACACACGGCAGATTAAACATGGGTGCAGTCTCTTGTGACACAATAGAATTTCTTCTTAGAGTTATGTAGATTAAATGTTACATGTGAACTAGCCTTTAAATTTGGAGAGGCTTGAAAACCCTTGACAAATGGAGACAAACATTCAACAATCCAAATACTCTGGAAAGGATCTGCATCCAGTTCACTCACAGTTCTTACATTTTGATGCAAGAATGATAAATGCTACACCAAGAGGGTCACCCTGGAATTTCTTGTACTGAAACCTCATTTTATGGAAAGGATATATATATCTATATATACTTATATCTATATATATCTATATATTTATATATTCACACACACACACACACACACCCCCCCCCCCCCAAACATACACACAAGTCTTTGATAGGCTTTCTGTGTTCTAGCAAAATTAAGTGGCAGCTTAACTGTCTTGCCATGAAGTCTGCTGCAAACAGTCTCTTTCAAAGGCAGATACTTGGGTTTATCTGGCAGGTGGAGCTAGATCCAGCCTGGGACAGAAACAGCTTCCCATTGGAACATACGCACAGCTCGTAGATTTTTTGATTGGATCCAGAAGGGGAGTAGGATCCCTGAGGCAATCTAGGTAGTTTGATTTTTGAAGCCTCCAACTTTATCTGAAAGAAAAGGAGAAGAAATGAAGGAGGAAGGGGAAAAAAAAGAATTTTGCTTTTGGTCAGATTCGTGATTTAAAACCCATGATCTAAGTTAACTGTGCCTTTCATTCTGTAGTATACATATGTATTCAGTGAAGAATTGGCAATTAGGCTAATATTAACACAGCCCCCAAATATTTTATGCTATAGTTATATTTATTTAGGTACTTATCCATATAATTTCGCATATAATACATGACATTGTTAAAAGTGTGTGCATAAGCACATCCTATACTCTCCTACAAATTGCTGAGCTGAATCTATCCTTATACAAAACCATAGCAAAGAGAAACTTCCAGAGTTCACATCAAATAGTGCATCTTATAAATGTTGGCTAGGTAGCATGGTATTATAAATATAAGTCTGCTGATATCAATGCTAAAAGTGCTGAACAATATTCGCATTTATATCTACATTCTATTGTAAATGTTTCTATCCCCAATACTATTTGCCTTAAAATGAAAATCTGAATGCAAATAATCCCTCGACACTGAATGCAAAATGGTCAGGCAGTGAGAAGACTAGACTCTTCCAAGATTTCTATGCCAATACATAAATGGGACCCTAGGAGGAGCCACTTATGATAAGGAACATGATTATGTCTCTTCATGCACTATGTCTGAAGTAAGGATGGACACATTTCAATGTGTTAGCCTGCATATTACTTTGGAAAATCTAAATGAAAATACAAGCTGAATTAATTGTTCCCCTATAAATGGTGAAAGTGGAACAATGTTTACATATAAAAATTATTCACTGCCTGAAGCTCTTAATAATTGCCATAATAAACAACATACAGTTTTCTGCTCTTTCTACATTGTTATTTGTAGTCTTTGATATCATTTTATTATTCTTTCTGTGACAGTTTAATGATGCACAGGAAATCCATTGTTTGAAATATATAAATATGTGAATTAAATTTTCCAAAGCAGATATTCAGGGCTAGAAAAATGCGATATTATTAGATTACAAGTGACCAACAAAATGTGCAGTTACTGGGATAATTTTAATTCAATTTATTACAATCATAGACCAGAGATGGGATACTCAGATAAAAATCATTGTGCTAGTATATAATGCCCTTTAAGCATAATTAATCACAGCAAAAATTACCTACTATATCAATTCCCAATACTAACTGCATTCTTTAAAAAAAAGTTGCAGTTAATCCAAGTTAGCTTTTAATATATATTTTTTTCAGGATATCCTATTTGCCACACACCAGCCTCAATAATTTCCTAGTTAAAAAAAGTCTGCTTTGATAATGCATTTTCAAAATGTGTACCGAGAAGCAAAAGAAAGGGAAGACAAGGGGGAAATCCAGGGAAAGAGAGAAGTGTAGATAGGATTTACCTTGAACTGAGTTTTATTGAGACTCACTTTCTGTATCTATTTTCAATGTTAGGGCTCAGTGAGCTTCTAAAAATGTATAAAGCAGGGGTGTCAAACTCATGACATCACAGTAATGTCCCATGATGTATTGGGACTCCCCCCCCTTTGCTAAACCAGGCGGGGGCATGGCCAGCATGTGATGCATCCGGGCAGCGGGCTGTGAGTTTGACAGCCCTGGTATAGAGTGTTTTCAGGTGTTCTCTTGGCCACTGTATTTATCGCTATTTCCAGCTCGGAACCATGGCATTTAGGTCAGAAGGGGCTGTTTCTATGTTCACTTGAACTCTTTCAATGTTTATTTCACAAATTAAGTGCAACTTGATAGTTGCAATAATGTTTAGGAATAATTATTATTTGAATGGTAATTGAAAAGTAGGAGAAAAAAAGCAGAAGGATTTTGGTTTTGCAGCATTCTACTCAGCAGAGATTTCCTTTGCCTCAAGAAAGAGGGAAGAATATCTGGAGTTGCAAAGGAGCAATTATTTCAGCTGGCAATAAGTTGTCCGATGGAGGCATGGGGAAAAATTGGCCATGTCCAAGTAGGAAAAAAAATATGCTGCTAAGTAGGAAAAGTGGGGGGGGGGGGCGGGACACAAGGAGAGAGAGAGAGCTGACAGTTTGCAGCAAATAGTGATTGTAGAAACTGAAGCGGTATGGGGATTGTGAAGTTGTTTGGAAGTGGATAGCCAATTTTAAAACAGGGTATGCCATTACAACAAATGTGTAGTTGAGCTTTTCACGAGTAACACTGGGAAAAGAACAACTTGGAGCTTGTGCATTTATTTGTGCATTTATTTGTGAGCTTCTTTGCCTGTAAGATAAAAGTGGATTTGACTTATTCTTCCATCTGTATGATACTTTTAACCTGTGTACTTGTTCATTCAAAACAGCACTGCCAATTCTTCTAGGATTATATGTACCACTTACTGCTCACACGAATATACTGCGAGTTGTAGAAATATAGTATTCATTCAACATGTCCCTGAGACCTGAAAATTGTTTCAACATTCCTTCAGGTTATAGAAAGGTTGAGAAAGGCTATTTTAAAAGGTGGAAATGACTTAATCGTTCTTCTTTCTTGAGCTGAAGATTGGAATGTGTTTGTTTCCATCATCAGTAGGGAAAACCAAGGAGAGATAGGCAAATAGGACACCACCTCCATGGCTACATGTTACTCATGGAGCAAAATGAGAGGTAGACCCAAGCAGCCACAAATTTACCTTGGCTTGGTACACTTTGATCATTAGGTAATGCTAAACTTTTGCAGCCTTCATTGCAGAAAGTCATAGTTGCTGCCTTATCTATACCTTTAACAACTAAAAATCAGGGCTGCACACATTCATTTCAAATGAAATAAACAAAATTTAAAAAGTTATGATTTTTATGTAGTTACTTACCAAGCACATATAAATTATATTAAAGTAACCATAATACCTTTACAATCTCCAAGGCATATCACATTTGAGCACCCCTAAGGTTTGGAAATTGAAAGTTGAAGAATTTGACACGCCGTATGAGTATGCAGTGCTTTAGATTCCATTTTTGAAAATGTGCTTTATAAAATGCATCAGCGCAAACATACCACCAGAATGCAGCTACTTAAAGCAGCTACATGTTTTTTTTAAAAAAAAATCTGGAATAGTTTGGCAGTTTTTGCAATCTTGGGAAAAGATGCAGTTGTTTCAAAGGATTGCAGGTAAGTGCTGTGTTTGTGCCTTTATGCCTTCTGAAGCACTGTTTGCATCTTGACTGTGAAGACCATACCAGAAAACCCTAGCTCTAAAATAGGATGCTAACAGTTTACATTTGCATGACAAGAAACTGAACTAGGGCAACTGAATATTAAAATATTGTGTATTTCCAATTATACTGAAATTGGCTTGGCACACTTTGATGCTTGAGTTATTCAATTTGTGGACTACCATTGCAAACTCCTAAATACCTTCAAAGATCTAAAGAGTTTGTTTTAACCCATTAAAAATGCTGCCAGTTTTTACAGATCAATAGGAATGAGTTAATCCCACCTCATCACAAAATAAATGATATAAGAGGTAATTATGCTGGTCAAGAAAAACTCACTTTAAACTGTCAAAATGGGAATTTAGTGGTACTACTCATTTTTACAGCTACATAAATCTATTTCCCTTAATCACTGCTATTATCCCAGCCTTTTAACACTAATTAATCAACTTGCCACTTTGTATGGGAGAAGCACAGTTTGCATACAATGAGTTCCATCATCTTGATGAGAAACTTTAATATATTAGCTATCCATATTGCTTTTTAAAAGCAATGCTAAGGGGAATTGCCAAGAAAATTTCCAGGGCTAAATGGAATTATCATCCAATTTTTAAATCTGAAAATTGCCTAAATGTACCAAGCTCTGTTCTGTACTCATTGCAAATGAGACAGCCTTGACAATAGACCAAAAGCAGAATCCTGATCTCAGCTCTGAGGTGTACTGAACTTTCTCCATACCTCACCATCTTTGGATTGCAGCTTAAGCTCCGTCCTGCACGTTGCTTCCAGGTTGCCAGCCTCAGCATTGATCAAAACTCCCTTGGGAGCCTCCATCACCAAAGAGCGGGTCGGAGACTCAAGTCTGTAATATCAAAAAGCACACACATCAGTATCTGGATTTTTGAGGAGGAGGAGGAACTCATTTGCAATGTGAAAAGATTTCTTCTGAATTGATGCTGAATTCATTTGGAAATAGCACTAAGACTTATATACAGCCCTCTCTAAGCAGTTTACACCATATTGCCTGGGACTTCATTTTACCAACCTTGGAAGGATGGAAGGCTGAGTCAACCTTGAGCTGGTCAGGATCGAACCCCTGGCAGCCAGCAGAATTAGCCTGCAATAGTGCATTCTTACCACCATGGCTCTTGAATTACTAGTATTTCAATGACATGATGCTATATTTTCTTCATCTGTTCAAGCTAAACCTTTCTATAGCAAGCATTTGTGACAGTTGTGCTGGAGGGACATAATCTACTTGCCGGCTGATAGATAAGAGTTGGTGTCCAGTGATGTTTGCTATAGAAAAAAAAAGGCTCCAGATACAGGAGATGTAGGCCAAGAAAGAAGAGCCTAAAAGGTATGTGAGAAAGGTTTTTAAGACAGAAATTAACCCAGGGATGAACTGTTCCTAATATATACTGCTTTTAACTTGGTAATGTAGATATTACACTGTGAATTTCTCACATGCATAAAAAATTGAGAATATCACATGAATATATTTTTGTGACAATACAGATTTTCTTAATAAAATATTATTACTTTTTTGCTATTACAAGTCACACTCAGATTCACGGCAGAACTCTTAATAATCCCCAACAGCGCACCTGTCTTCTATATGTATACAATATCCCCTTCGTATTTTCCCTACCGATACAAAAACAATTGCGAAGCTCTTTTTTCAGCATGTTATTTTATCTCTAATCTCTTGAATCAAAACTGGAAAAGCAGAAATGGAGCCCCTACAGGGATGTATTTTAAGGCAAGGGGTGGAAAAGAGCATACCCTTTCCAGACTTTTTTCAGATGAATCAATACTTGTCATTCAAGGATAAGAACTAAATCTACCAAATCTGTGTTACAAAAATCTAAATGGCCACTTACTGGTAGCAAAAAGATACAGAAAACTGTAGGTCTTTATTGCATCTACTAGTCATCTAGATTTTTAGGGCTCAATTTGCTGTTCTTACTTTTTGTTTGTATGAAGTATACAATGGTAGCTACACTTCTCCAATAATCTGGGCCATTGAATTCAGTGGACAAAAACAATATAAAAATTACACCGATAGATAGTTGGGGGAAAATATACTTTGGCCAGTGAACTCTCAAAAAGGCCCTGGGCCATTAGCTTTTTCCAAATTTTTCTTTGGAGGGAGGGCTTTCCAAAGGGGAAATAAGATGTGAGCCCGCTAATGATGATCTGCTATTTACCAAGTAATGGTTTGATCTGTTTTCATTCAAAAAGCAATGAAAAGTACCGACATTTTGTTCTTCATTTAAAAAAAAAAAATTCTGCCAGCAAAAAACAGTCTTGAATGTAGGCTGACATAATGTAGAATATTTGGACTCTATTAAGATACTATTTAGTCATCGTCAGCATAGCATAAAACTTCTATATCTCTAGGTCAGGAATGGCATCATCTGTTCTATGAAACCCACAGATAGTTATTTATAGTCCTGATTTACATTAGATGGTGGCAAGCATGATAGCTTGCAAACAAGTCACACTTGCTGCCTTCTGTTAATATTTAAAAGCAATAAAATCTTTAAAAATCTTTTATTTTTTAAATTTTATTATCAAACCCACTTAGAAAAGATATTGAAGCTTTCACTGCGGCCTTTAACACACAATTATCTTGCGGTCAGGCTCATATGAAAGTTGCTGGATTAGCAGCAGTGCTAAAAATAATTACCATGAAATACAAGCATGTGACGAATCTACTAACTTGGTTTTCATCAAATAATACTTCATAGCATCTGATGAACTGGGCTCTGAACTACTTAAACGTTTATGCCATAGTAGATTTGTAGTAAGGTTTTATTTTGATAATAGGTTAACTCCTGATCACTAGGAGGCACTACACAACTAGTTTTCATCCTTATGAAGATTCTTCAGGCATAAGAATCTTCCATGCTAGTTTCCAACCCATTAAATAGTTGAACATAAAATATTTAGTATGGAGGTTACCTAACCCTGAAGAGTCCCAGTAAGGATGAACTGGGGGGGGGGGGGTAATGTCTCTATTGGACACAAGGTAATATAAACTTTAAATTGTATAAACATCCCTTAAGAGCCTTAAGTATAATAAATACACAAGCCAGTGAAACTTTTGTAAGATTCCACAATTCCTGTACCATGTGCTGCAAATATTCTCTTCTAACAGTGGATTTTTAATGCTATTGGAAAAAATCAGATGAATGCCATTACCTAATAATCTTCACACCTTGTACACACAACACAATAATACACACACACAAATTATTACTGTACGTTTTAACAAGTGCCCAGAAATAAATGGCATTTTTCAAGGTGAGAGAGATGAATTATTATGATTACGTTGGGAGGCAAGAATTTCTTTATTAAAATAAGTTGTTATTAGAAAGAGGTTACTACTATTAGTACTAATAAGTCTTTATGGGCTTCTCAACTCCCAACAACTCTGGGAGGCATACAGTTAAAATATAAAAAAAAAATACAACACTCAAAAAGAAATAATGAACTGTCCCCAAGACAACATACAACCAGAAAATCCATTCAATAGGATTCAGCCTGCATGTTTCCCCAAAACCTGAAACATCTTCAGACTGGAAAAAATACTCTCTTCCCATCTATTTGATAGCTCACTCCAAATTTAACTCTAACCTATCTTTTTCACATACTGTTCTCCTGTTTATACATTCTGCTTTTTTCTAACATTCTAATTTATGTTTTCCCCTTTTTCCTTTCTGTTTTTCTTAAACTATATTGCAATGAAAGAGAAGAAAAAAAGTAGGAAGAACAGTTAACACAGGCCAGCCAGCTTGAGCTTGTACAGAGCTCCGTTATGGAAATCAACATATCAGCACTGAATACATTCCTTGCTATATTGTTTCTTGACTGTTTTTATGAGTGATCCTAAATACTTGCTTAAATAATCTTTTCTTTCTTGTTTGCTTCTAGAAAATTATAATCTTAAACAGTCAGATGGCAGATAGTGCATGATACCTGCCTATCTTCTAAAGAATTATCTTGGCATTGTCATTAAACTTTCTAAAGTCTCGCACCCACAAAAGATCAAAACTTTCCTTTTCTAAAATTTCTAGAGTAATTTATTGGAGGTCAACCTATCAGGTTGTACTATGCTTTCAGAGATATTCATTCTCTTGAAGCAAACATTACTTATCCAGATTTCTAGTTTTCATTTCCTGCATCATATGGAGCCTCATTAATCATTTCAGAAGGACAGCATTTGAGATAATCATTTTTGCAATATTCCTATTTTTTATGATACACACAGTGGTGCTTTTGTTTTTCCTGAAGTAGACTTGAATCTTCACAAGTATGTATAATTTTTAAACAACAACCTTTGCAAGAAAAATTGAATTTGCATATTATTGTGAACTCTAGCTCAACTAGCCAACAAGTGAAGCACATTTCAGTTATCATATATGTTTTAATTAGGCAGTTTTTATGTCAAAATACTAATTTTCAGTAACAATACCAATGCATCAAATACTTTCGAATGCTATTATATGTCTATCAAACACTAAATGCTCCTTATTACTATTGTTGTTAGGTTTCCAAAGGATCATCTCTGAATTGTTGGAAACTTCTCAAAAATTTTGAAGTACCCAAGAATCACTGTAGAACTCATTCTTAAATCATCAGGGTCAGTGATCTGTAGAGATTCTCAGTCATCCAGGTCATGGTTGTCCCAAAGGTGCTTTCTCAGGAGACAACTGGACTTTCTTGTTTTTTTCTTTTGAAGATGTTTTGCTTTTCATCCAAGAAGCTTCTTCAGCTCTGACAGGATAGTGGGGAATGGAAGGATTTATATTGTCTGCAAGGAATATAAATCCTTCCATTCCCCACTATCCTGTCAGAGCTGAAGAAGCTTAATCTCTCATATCAAGTGCTAATGCTTTGCCTGTCTTCAAATAGTAGCATTCTAACTACTAACTACTCTAGTTCCTCTAGTTCAACAGGCTCAAAGGATTCCCAGATTATCACACATTTACTTATCACAATTCAATTGGCCTCTAGATTTGAGCTGATATGAATAATTTTATCAGCTAAGAAACCTGCAAACTAATCAGGCATATCTGTAGGAGCTTTGTCCCAACATGCCCATAGAAGCCTTCATTAGACTTTGGTCCTGCCTGACCTCTAGAAGCTTAAGTTTATGTGGGGATCTCTCTCGATGTCCATAATAATAATTTTGTGAGATAGATTGGATTGAGAGAAAGTGACTGAATTTGTAGGACTGAGGGGCCTTCTAATTCTGTCAAATACTTTAAGCATTACACTAAAGCCACTGCTGATTCTAGGAAATTAGAAACAAAAATGTAGTTTATAATGTATTTTATTAAAAATATTTTGCTAAATTACTCATTATTGCCAATATGTTGATTATTTTAATATATTTGATGCGAAACTGCATTTTAAGATTAGTTGGGAATTGCATTTAATTAAAAAACATACGTATTGTATTGATTGGAAATGATTAGTTAAAATATATTTATCAGTTCCCAAAATTTTCTACTGAGTTTTAGTTTCTATCTTAAATCCAATTCAAAGCTAAGATTTCATGTTTTCAACTGATTTTTAATTGCAGTTCCTCGGAACTACTAATATTATTATGCTGCTTTGTGCTATGAACTGCTATGAACTTTTGTTGTATTTTTGTTTTAACTTTTCTTGTAAGCTATTTTGTACATCCAAATAATTGATAATTATGTGTTAACCTTGCTAAACATTCCTTCCTTCCTTCCCTCCGTCCCTCCTTCCTTCTTTCCTTCCTTCCTGATATTATTTAGCCCACAAAATTATTTTGATTCATTGGATAAAGAAAGAAGGATTATTTCTAAATTGCCTTGCAATGAT